GAATTCTATCCTTTTTACTTTAGATCTACATATATTCTCTAGTTTAACTCCTGTTTCCAGCTAGAATCAATTCTGTGGGATTTGAATTGCTGAGAGTATAGCCTTTTAGGCTCATCCTAATTCATGCAAGAAATGGAGAGTCAGTGCATAATTTACAGTTAGTTGCCTTTAAAATGGATCTTTCTGGGTTTTTGCTTCATGAGGCCTTTCCTGGTTGCAACTATGCCTGTCAGAAGATACAGAGTGGCTTCTAATTTCCCATCCTTCCAGAACAATGATAGCAATGAAGAGGACGATGACGACTGTGTGATTAGAGTTATCATAGTAAAGCGACCCACACTTAGTAAATTGATGCTGGCATTGTGGTAGGGACTAGTGTACAAGATCTCTTTTAATCCTGACAATGTGCTGGGAGACAAACGTCAGATCCCACTTTTTCATGGAGGGAAAAAAGGTCAGAGTGGTGACACCCAAGGTCACACACCCAGTGAGGGGAATCTCTTGAGATTTGAATCCAGCTCAGCCCAACTCCAAATGGCTGGCTTTTTATGTCTGTGGTTAGGAACATGGCACTAGCACCTTTATTTCCCTTTTCTTAGTCCTCCTCCCTTACCTTGCTTTTTTTCTCAACGTTCTCCAATTCATCAATCTTTGCTCCCTCATCCCCTACACGAGTTCCACTTGCCTTCCCTATAGGCACTTAGGAAGCCGTTGTCGACAAAATCACTGTCTTACCAGTTTACTGAACCATCCGAACCTGTGCCACCGTACTTCCCATCATTCAAGCCTTCCATCAATCCCTGTAAGGGAAGGCTGGAGTTGCTACTCCCATTTCACATAGAGGAAAACATTTTTTAAAGATTTATTGTATTTGTCTGAAGGCACAGTGACATACAAAGATGGAGAGACACAGAGAGAAAGAGATCTTCCATTCACTGATTCCTCAGATGGCCACAACAGTCCTGGCTGGGCCAAGTCTGGAACTCCATCCGGGTCTCCCACATGGAAGGCCACTTCTTGGGTTTTCTTCTGCAGCCTCCCCAGCTGCATTAGCAAGGAACTGGATTGGAAGTGCAGCAGCCAGGACTCAAAGTACGGCTCTGTTATGGGATGCTGGCCTCACAGGTGGCAGCTTAACCCAGTTAGTCCAGTACCAGCCCTCCCCAACCAGTAATTTTTTAAAATTTTCTTTTGTTTATATTAATTTTTATTTAAAAGGAAAGAGCGAGAGCGAGAGAGGGAGAGAGATCTTGCATCTACTGGTTCACTACACAAATGGCTTCAATAGCCAAGACTGGACCAGGCAGAAGCCAGGAGCCCTGAATTCCATCTTCATTTCCCATATGGGTTGCAGGGCTGCATGTCCTTGAGTCTCTTCTGCTGCTTTCCAAAGTGTGCATTAGTAGAAAGCTGGATCAGAAGCAGAGGAGCCAGACTCAAACCAGGCACACTGATGTGAGATATGGGCTTCCCAAGTTCTGGCTTACCCTGCTGTGTCAAATGCCCATGCCACAAATATAAGAAAATTAAATACAAAAACAGAAGAATAACCAGCCCTCTATGGGAGAGAGGTAGTTCAAGCCATTGAACGGGTCATGTCCAGAGAGACTTTTGAAAACCCAAAAAAGCAAGTAATTGCTCTGTCTCATTTATGGGAAGTGCCTGTTCTTTTGCTGGTCTGAGCCCCTTCCTGTCCTCCCTCTTCAATCTGGCACAGCCTCAGTGCCACAGGCTCTCCCTACAACTGCCACCTTCACCTTGGGGCCCTTGCCCTTTCTGTTGTCTTGGCCTTGAATGCTCTTCCTTCAGAAATGGAGAAGGTGTCATCCCCTGTCCTAGTTTCCCTTGGACATCTCCTTCTTTGCGAAGTCTTCCTTGGCTATCATATTACAACTCATATTCACTCTTCCTCCAGGTTTCCCTTTACCCTTTCCTATTTTAGTTTTCTCCATAGACCTTAGCACTTGCTAAGTTAATGCCATTACTTTTACTTTTCTGACTTTCTCCACTAGAATGCATGTGCCAGGAAGAGTACTGTTGCTTGTTTGGCTTACTAGTACACAGTCAACACTCAATAAACATTCACAGAATGAAGACTCTCATGCATTCAACTATTCAAGAGACATTGACTACGTAGAAGATGAGCCCCATCCCTGCTCTTTGTATGAACACCTCTGAGTGAAGGCCAATAGAAACCCAAGCCAGATATGAAAATGAGTATCATAGACACGTGCAGAATGTAAACAAGTGATATAAGGTAGCTGCTCTGATTGCTGAGCTGCTGGGGAAGTCCAGTTTCAGACAAGAAAGGAGCTGTAAGCCAGGGTCAGCCAGGGAAAGACAGGTGGGGAATTTCAGAAATGCAGCCCCTTCCCTCTGCTCCAGCCCACAATGCTGCCTCTATCCTGAAGGCAGAGTAGCCTGCAACACAATTAAAGACCAAACAATGGACCATCTCTCAATTTATGTGCAACTGACTTGCATATTTGGGGTAAGTTCTATTAATAAGCAAGCACCAGTTTAGGAACACAATCGTTTAAATGGCTGCCAGAGTCTTATGTCAGGACTGGCCGCTCTGTGCTGGTGGAAGGTGGGAGTCAAAGGCACAGCACCGCTCCCACTGATGCTCAGCGATGTGCTCCTGGCGTGGGATGCCTTTCAATCCACTTGTTCACTTGAAACTTAAGCAAAGTTCTGACTGGGAAATGTCTGTTCAAAGTCTTAGGAAAGCACCAAATAAAGTACTGTCACCATAGAGATCAGATTGAAAATGAAGTAGTTTTTTAATGACTTGAAAAAAATCATACTGATTCGCTCCAAGCCTAATACTTGGTCTACCAAAAGTATAGCTAGTACAAGGCACAATAGTACCACCAGGATCAAAGGAGGAGCTTAGCGTGGTCCATGGGACACTGTGCATTACGTTGGGGGGCAAAGCTGCAAGCTGAAGGCCAGTGTACTCAAGGCTCAGCTGGGTATTGTCAGCCTTTCCAATGACCTGTTTTTGTTAACTTACCAGTAATGTGAAAAAATAATGAATTTGTCCATCCACATACTTGGAAAATAGTCTTAAATATTTTCCTATGAGAAAATTCATTTTAAACCTAACTTTTAAAAAAATGCTCTAACTATTCAGGTAAATTGGACAGCAAATATTTAAGGTTTAGTCTAGGTATAGCCTTTGCAAACATAATCATTATCTAGATCAGGAATTGGCAAACTACAACTACATGTCACAAATCTGAGGGCCATCGGCTTTTTAAAATAAAGTTTGATTGAAGTACAATCAAGTCCATTCATTTATGTTCTGTCTGTTGTCTTTGGCTATTTTTATTGAAGTGGCAGAGTGGTTGAAATAGCAAGAGCATGGTACACAAAGCTGAAAATATTTGAAATCTTTCCTTTATAAAACAAATTTGCAAATTTCTGTTATAAAGTCTGTGACTATGTTTTCTCTTCTAGTGTGGCCTGAATGACAGGGTTAAATAATAAATTGTTCACAGTGACATTGTGTTTTTTGTAACTATATACTATCCTGGTTGTTACCGTTTCTGCTATTATGCTGACTTCTGTTAGACAAAAATATTATTCTGTAAAATAGAAGCATGAAACAGTGTAGACAGCACAGTGTGAGAGCCAATGGCAAAACATTACACACAGTGAAACCCAGTGAAAGCGAAGAGGCTAATAGTGGGGGAGGGAGGGCTTAGGATCGACGCAGACTCCTAAGTACATGTATTCCACAGCTGTGGTGCTAAGAGACAGATTGCTTGGAATGCCATGGGTAGGCTAAGCCAAACACAAATGAGAGCATGAGGAAATTTTTCTAGTGAAAAATATTTTTCCTTACAAATTTGAAATATTTTCCCTTTTATGTTATATTCTGTTTTTTTAACCTTTTGAAATCACATGGCTTCATTCTCTACCAGATATCTTTTTGGTTTCTGTAAAGTATGAAAATTCCTTCCCATGCTTTATGTGGAGAGTTTCCCAAGGTTTTAGGATGTGTTGAAAGGAGTGGAAATGGATTTTTTTTATCTTTTGGTAAATGAAAATAGTAAAATTAACAAATTTGATTTTTTTAACCTTTGATTTGAATTCAAGGTGAAAACAATAAGTCAAGCAGTTTGAAAGAGACGCAAAGGTTCTCAGTCTGTGGACTATATCATGTCTCTTCTCTTCATCGGGGGAATGAGATGTACGATTGGCCATCCAGTGGTCCTGGGACCTGGGACGAGTCATTCGTACCTTTGAGAGGAGGAGTTGTCAGTCACAGGTTCCTAAACGAGTAGCCACTGCTGTGGACAAGGCTCCTGGGAGAAGGGACGGAGACGGAGCTGAAAGGCTCTGTGAGTGGTAAGCCAGTCTAAATGGAAGGTGTTGCTACTGTCCTCTGCCTTTGTCAGGAAAACCTCCAGGGACCCTGGGCCAGAGGCCTGGGCTGGGCTGGAAAGGGAGAGAGAGCTTTTCTGTTACTGTTGAGCAGTCACCCCAGGAGAAAGCCTGCAGGGTGAAGACATGAAACGGGGCTTTCAGTCTTCGGTGGGTTGCAGGGATTCAGTTACCCAAGGGTTACCCTTTTGTATCTCCCCAGGCAGCCTGGGGTTGGCAGGAGATGCAATCCTGCTGGGCATCCTGGAACCGGCTTTCAGAAGTCAAAGTGTCTGAGTTACTTCCATTTTAAAAAATATTCCTGGTATGTTAACAAGAGAAGAAACACCAAATCAGGGTTGTGAAAATTATGCTAATGCTTCAGAAATCAGTCATTCGCCACATACATTTATGTTACTTTTTGTTTTTCAAAAGATATACGTATGCAACATACAGAAGCAATGTTTATTAGGATGCACTACAGGTATGGGATTCAGGTTTAAGGCTGAGGGACAGCTCCTCCTTGTCCTGTGAGGGAACGTTACTACACATGTAGTAATGTCAAATGTTTGTGTCCTGTCTAAGCCACGAGCGTGGGCTACAAGGCTTTCCATTCTTCCCTCTTCCAGATCCCACCCCTTATCTCCCCCTCCACCTCACACTCCTTCAGATGGGACTGCTGGAGTGCAGTAAGAGGAACAACGGAGGATTGTGATGAGGCCCATCATGCACTTCCTCCACAAATATTCTTCAAGTGCCCACCGCGAGCAGAGGTAAGAAGTTAGCGCTGCGGCTCACTAGGCTAATCCTCCGCCTGTGGCGCCGGCACCCCAGGTTCTAGTCCCGGTGGGGGAGCCGGATTCTGTCCCAGTTGCTCCTCTTCCAGTCCAGCTCTCTGCTGTGGCCTGGGAGTGCAGTGGAGGATGGCCCAAGTGCTTGGGCCCTGCACCCCATGGGAGACCAGGAGAACCACCTGGCTCTGGGCTTCGGATCAGCGCGGTGCGCCGGCCGCAGTGCGCTGGCCGCAGCGACCATTGGAGGGTGAACCAACGGCAAAGGAAGACCTTTCTCTCTGTCTCTCTCTCTCTCACTGTCCACTCTGCCTGTCAAAAAAAAAAAAAAAAAAAAAAAAAAGTTAGCAAGGCATTTGTTCTCGTAGTCGGGGTTTGAATGAACTCTGTTGAGTGGTAGAACTTCTCCAAGCCTCAGTTTCCCCACTTGTGAAGTTCCTTGTTGGTTGTTCTGAGGGCTGGCAGACTTCCACATGGAGACTGCTCACAGTGCTTCTTGGCATGGTGAGTGATCAGGACCAAGTCCTTGCCTGCAGGGAGCTTCAGTCCCAGCTCCCTTGCTGCATTTTGCTCTCCCTTCTCCCCCACGCCAAGCTAGGATGCCCGAAGCAACCTTGCAATATCTGAAGGTATTTGCTAAAACACAGGAAAATGTTACTTCGCTGATGAGGAAAAACAGGTCAGTGTATTAAGGAAATCCTCTTAAAAATGCACAAATCAACCATTCAACAAGCGATAATATGAAAATTTCGAAGCCAATGCATACCAGGGGAATCTTTAAATAATTCATGAAAAATTTTGCATCATGCAAAAACTGTGCATGGAGTCCACATTTTTTGCACCAAAATAAACTTACCTTTTAGCTCCATTTTTCTTTCAGCTAATACCTGGTATGTATTAGGTACTGAATAGAGGCTACTGATATCAGAGTTAACAAACAAGATGTACTTTCCCACTCACTGGTAGGAAAGATAAAGTTGTTTGGCATAATGTAAACTTTTTGTAGATGTATAAGATGCATATAGACAGCACATCAATAATACTTGTACACCTCAGTTAATATTCCGAAAACACAGACATATAATTAGTTCCCAAGTCAACAGGCAAAATCTTACCAGCCCTGAGATGTCTCTGTTTGCCTGCTTCCACTCATGTCCACTCTCAAAAGGTAGATACTATTCTGGCTTCTACAACCATTGATTACTTTTGCATGCCTATAAACTTTATAAAAAAGGACTCATCACATATACTCTTGTTTTATTCAGCATTATGCTTGTGGAACTCATCCTTTTTTGTGTATATTGTAGTTTATTCCCATTGCTGTATATTATTCACTGTCTAATATGCCGTTTTCTGATCTACATTATAATGGTGATGGATGTTTGGATTGTTTTCAGCTTGGGAATATTACAACCAATGCTGCAGTGACATTCTTGTACGTATTGTCAGTTAGGTATATGCATGCATTTTGGATGGGTGTGTACATATTTAGGAGTAGAATTGCTGAGTGTCAGGTATGGGTGTGTTCAGTTTTCGTGGATACTGTTAGATAGCTTTCCAAAGCAGTTGTAGCCATTTACTCTGTGGTCAGCAGAGTATGAGAGTTCTGGTTGTGCTCCATTGTCATTTTGGAAGGTGTGCTGTGGTGTCTGCATTATGCTTTTCAACTTGCATTTTCCCCATTGACTAATGAAGTTGAATGGTTTCTCATACGTTATTTTCTGTTTGGATATTGTCTCTTACTGTTCTGACAGCTGTCTGTTTTTTTATTGGGTTCTTTTCTTTTCCCTATTGATTTAAAGGAGTGCTTTACATTTGCAAGATATATGTGTTGAAAAACTCTTCTCCCAGTCCATGGTTTCCCTTCTCACTCTCTCAGAGGTTTTGAAGAACTGAAGTTCTCAATTTTGATGTAATTCGATTGATCAGTCTTTTCCTCCTTAATGATCATTCCTTTTCTGTGTATTTGGAAGCCTTTGTTTGAGGCAGTCCTTGGGGAAGCAGCTAATGCCCAGCTGGGAATTTGTTAGGCACCTGTGCTGCCAAAAGTAGCAAACAACACAGTCAGGAAAGATGACCCCAAGGAACCATAAGGCAAGATGTCTGCTTTCGCCTTCTCTGTGAAGAGGTGCTGAGAGGGACATAGGAAGAAATTTCCAGAAGCCCCTATAAACTGAAATTTCATTAAGGAGTACTCGGAGATATGGGAAACATTGTATGGGTCAGAGAAATACAAATGTAATAAAATAGCATGTTACACTATGAGCAGGAAATGAGAACTAGAAACCAGCTGAGGGAGGTGAGAAGAGAGATGCTAACACCCCAAATGTCCTCATGTCCCACTCAGCTGGGATACTTCTACTTCAACCTTGGTCCAAGGTCAAATCCACACACTCAGGTATTTCCACTAGACATATGGCCAAAAAGTAAAAATAAATAAAAATAAATAAATAAATAAAAAACCAAAAACCAAACTGGATGACGTGTTATGTATGAGAATTTCTAAGGTGCCCGTATAAATGTTTCCTCCTAACCCTCAGAACCTGTAAATACGATGTGACATCACTCACTGGTGTGTCACACGTGTGACTGTATTCTTTTTCAAGGCAGAGTTTATTTAAACATAGGCAACTGTCTGGGTGGCCCTGATTTAATCACAAAGCTTTTTAAGAAAGACCACTCAATTAATTTTACTTATTTGAAATGCAGACAGAAAAAGACATAGAGAGAGAGAGAGAGAGAGAGAGTTTTCCCATTCACTGGTTCACTTCCCAAATACCTGCACCAATCAGGGCCGAGCAGGATGTCAGGAACTCAGTCCGAATCTTCCGTGTGGGTGACAAGGACCTAACTGCTTGACATCACCTGCTGCCTCCCAATAAGCACGTTAGGAGGAAACTGGAACCTGGAGTGCAGCTGTTATTTGAATCCAGTCACTCTGATACGGGACGGGACGCAGGCATCTCGAGCAGCGCCTTAATCACTACACCAAATGCCCACTATAATGGGACCATTTAAGCTGATGGTAGAAATCAGAGCTATTTGAAGAATGAAGAGGATCTGACTTGAAGAGGAAGGCTTTATGAGAAGGATTTCAGGCAAATTAAGGAACTGAGAAAGGCAGGCAGCTGACGGCCATCAAGGAGCTGGGGTCCTCCGTCTCACAAGCACCAGGAACTGAATTCTGCCAACAACTTGAGTGAACTGAGAGGTGGTTTCTGTTCAGAGCCTGCATATGAGGACTCAGTTTAACTAACAACTTGACTTCTGCCTGTAACACCTTGAAAGCCAACCAAGTGACACTGTGTTGACCTCTGATTTACAGGTATGAATACTAACAAATGGATATTGATAGTATAAGGAAGAGGGGAAGAACGGAGAGGAGACAGGGTGCGAACTCACAGCTAAAACGAATTTATTCAAGAAGAAAAATGAATTCTCAGAGGTGGCTGACTGCTAGTGTGCACACAGACCAGTCACATGGCAGACAGCACATCTCTTATATACCTTAGGCTGGGCTAAGGGTCAAGGGTCGGACGGGAGGGCGGTGGGCAGAGCTGAGCTAGTCCGTACAGGTTTTTCGTGGGCTTTTCAGGCTTCCTCTCTGTGTGCCAGTTTGTTGGAAAAGAATGCAGAGGGCAGAGTGGAGAAGAATAAAGGCGAGGGACCTAGCTGGTTTCTTGAAAGAGGGCTGGCCCGGAAAGTGGTCCCTCAGGGAATTTTATCTGCTTTCAGGCAGGAGCTAAAATGGCTGAGGCTGTGTCCTTGTTCCTACCAGTTAGAAACTGCTAAGTGTGCTCTTGTCACACACTGAAGAAAAATGATATGGGGATAGTTCTGGCGTTTGTGCAAAGCCACCTTATAAGGAGTCGGCCAGGGTGAAGAGCTGTATGAGGTGGATGTGGTCCACTGTCATCCAGGGGAAGGTGAGAGGGCAGAGGCGCCAGCCAACACTCTCTGGAAAAACAGTAGAGGGGTAAGATGAGGAGGGTGAGAAAGAGCACTCTGCACGGGGACACATGTAGGATAAGCGCAGGAACTGACGCGCCAGAACTATCTGTCGTCTTCAGTGTGTCATTCCACGACTGGAACTGGAGCACATTGCGGTTGTTGGAGTGCTCTAGAAATTTCAAGTGGTTTCTGTGTTGTGATCGTGGATATCAGAAGCACTCAGCAATTCTATCAAAACTGTTCATGTTTCCAAGCATTTTCAAAATAAAAAGACACTCCTGTCCTCGCTCCATGAACTCAGGGATCTATGTGAGAGGCCAATTAAAAACACTGAAATTTGAAATCAGGTCTTCATCAGGTCGTGTTATTGCTTGGACATCCGAGTTCTCTCCTGTATGTGCGTACAGGTGGCAGAGAGAGCAAAACAGGTCCCGTCTGAATGCCCTGCTTGGTGCTGTGATGCTGTGGGAGGGGCCGCTCTTGGAGGTGGCTATAGCTCAGGGCTGGGACTGATCCCCTCAACACTGCCTCGATGTGTCTTGTCTCTACGTAGGACAGCTAGGGCTGTTGGAAAGGAGCATCAGCTGGTGTGGTAAATGTTCTGGCTATTTTTTTTTTTTTTTTTTTTGACAGGCAGAGTGGACAGTGAGAGAGAAAGACAGAGAAAGGTCTTCCTTTGCCGTTGGTTCACCCTCCAATGGCCGCCGCGGCCGGCGCACCGCGCTGATCCGAAGCCAGGAGCCAGGAGTCAGGTGCTTTTCCTGGTCTCCCATGGGGTGCAGGGCCCAAGCACCTTGGCCATCTTCCACTGCACTCCCTGGCCACAGCAGAGAGCTGGCCTGGAAGAGGGGCAACCGGGACAGAATCCGGCACCCCGACCGGGACTAGAACCCAGGGTGCCAGCGCCGCTAGGCGGAGGATTAGCTTAGTGAGCCGCGGCACCGGCCCCTGGCTATTTTTCATTCCATTAAACTTTTCAGTAAATCTGGAAGTGGAAAAACAAACTGTAGACCGACGTCTTCATTTTCAGAAAAGTGGATAAGCACTGCTTCAAGGAAGAGGCCTACGTCTCCTGACGTTAGCTGCACAGTTGGCAGCATGCGATTGTCTTTGTATAGTTGGAAAAGTAAGAATTTCATTCGTATTCATTTTATTTATTTCAGAGGTGGAAGGCAATGAGGGAGAGAGAGAGAGCGCACTCCCAACTACTTGTTCACTCCCCAAATGCCCACACTGGCCAAAGCCAGGAGCCAGGAACTCCATCCAGGTTTCCCACATAGGTGGCAGGAACCCAATTACTTGAGCCATCACCTGTCGTCTCCAAGGGTGTGCCTTAGCAGGAAGCTGGAGTCCAGGGTCGGGGCTAGGAATTGAACCCAGGCCCTCCAACATGGGATGCAGGCATATTAACGGCTAGACCAAATGGCTGCTCCCACACTAATGGTTTCATTGAAACATCACATGAGGCACAAGAGTACATGTGGAACGTATTTAGGGACAATGACTCTGGATGAGAAGCCCCCATCCACGCACCCTTGCAGTTCCAGCTGCCTCTTCTCCCCGGTGATAACCCCCACCCCACTCCTCATTATTAGATTAGACTTTGTCAGAATGCCAAAATGTTCTTGAAGCAAAATGGAGTACTATATTTTTAGAGCTGGGAGGGAGAATAAAAGAAACTTTATTCCAAGGTCGTAGAGATGTTTTCCTGTTTTCTGTTAGAAGTTGTGCTGTTTTATCTTTTGCATTTGGGTCATGGTCTATCTCAGTTTAATTTTCGGCATGCTACTGAGGCCAGGTAAGCAGCCCTCCTTGGCCCCACGTGGCAGGTCCTGAACTCCTGTTTTTAATCTCCTGGTACTGCAGAAGCTCTGATGATTCTCAAAGGCTTTCTGCTTCTGTTTTTTAGCCTCTCATTCTCATACACCTCATCTACATCCAGCAGACGTCCGGAGGGGAATTCCAGCTGCGTATTTGAGGCCTCTCCTGTCTCTTTTAGAAGCTTTCTGGCTTCCCTGTCCCTGAATGGGCAATGCCCTGGGGAGAGCAGCTGCCAGTCATCTCTCCTCCCTGCGGTTCTACACTCTCCTACATTTCTCTTTGCCTCCACAGCTCTCCTGTACCTTCAAAAAGGTGGCTTCTGCTTTTAATTTTGCCTTCCTTGTTTTGCTACTGGTGCCATGAGTTCCTACCTAACATTTGGAAAAACATGCATTTTTAATGTGACTTTTGTAATGTTGTGAAGGAAAAGAAGCCCGAGTGTTACTGTAAGGGGGGAGAGCAGGAATCCCTGCTCCCGGACATCCACTGTCTGGTGTGGAAGCTGCTGCAGTTGACCAGCAGCTCACCTGAGCTGTGAGCATGGCCGTGGTTGGCCTGTGACCCGAGAGTCCCCCGCGGCCTCATGTGCTGGAATTTCATCTCCACTGTGGGGTGAGAAGAGGGAGAAAGCTTCATCCAACTCGAGTGTCTAGAACTGCAGCCTCCGGGAAGTGACCCAGATTACAGAAGAGTGTCAGAGTGGAGATCCCATCACTGATTCGTGGTAGACTTAGAATCAAGAGAGAGACCCATAGACAGACACACATGCTCCCTGTCTCTCCTGTCTTTGCCATGCGATGCTCTGTGCCACCTTGGGACTCTTCCAGCAAGAGGATCACCACCAGAGGCAAGCCCTGGAACCACCAGAAGCATGAGCCAAAACCCACCTCTTCTCTTCATCGGCTGTTCCAGTGCGGCCACACAAAGCACACTGACGCAGGCACACTGCCAAGGAGTTAGCACAAGAAGCCACAGCTCAACATCTAACCCCACTTTCCCATTCATCCTCCATTTGTAATAAGTAATTTAACGTCCCCTCACTGTGGCGTTTATCCTTAACCTGAAGACCAGGATCCTGTACTAAGTGCTTCAAACCCTGGGACAGGCAGGAAACCTCTGACTGCCTGGGCTGGTGTAAAAAGAAGTACCATAGAAGTTCTTTTAGCCCATTTAGAATAGTGTTTATGGCTTGAAAAACCAGGAATGTATGGTATTTTTTAAAATAAAGTTAAGGAGGAAACAGCAGAATTCTCTATGGTGTCACATCCTACCAACTGCTACTGATAGAAGGCTTTATGAGAAGGATTTCAGGCAAATTAAGGAACTGAGAAAGGCAGGCAGCTGACGGCCATCAAGGAGCTGGGGTCCTCTGTCTCACAAGCACCAGGAACTGAATTCTGCCAACAACTTGAGTGAACTGAGAGGTGATTTCTATTCAGAGCCTGCATATGAGGACTCAGTTTAGCTAACAACTTGACTTCTGCCTGTAACACCTTGAAAGCCAACCAGGTGACACTGTGTTGACCTCTGATTTACAGGTATGAATACTAACAAATGGATATTGATAGTATAAGGAAGAGGGACTAGAACCCGGGATGCCGGCACTGCAAGCAGATTAGCCTAGTGAGCAGCAGCGCCGGCCAAAAGCCATCATTTAATATTACCATAGGATTCGGGCTGAGCTTAACTTTACGATATTTAGTGTCCTGAGAAGGAGTGGAGTTCAGCATTTTCTTTTCTCTCTCTCATGTTCGAATTTGCAGCCGATGATGTGAAGTGATCAGGAAGGAGTTTCTGTGAACTGAGATGAGGGTGCTGAGCATGAGGCTGTCTGCATGCTCACCTTTATCCTTCGACAAAGGGACGGAGGGGCAGTGCTGCCTGCCAGCTCTCTCCAGCTGATGGAACTCAGAATAGTGCCGCCTGGCCCTTGCTGTCCTTAGAAAATCTGAGCAATCACCCCTTTGGGAGGAAAAAAAAAATCCATAAATAATTCATTGAAATCCCCTTTTCAAAAAGTGGCAGAAGAAAATGAAAGCGGTCGAGATGGGAGTTGACACCCAGTGATAACCTCGACTAATACAGGATGTGATGGTTCAGAGGATAAACAAAAAAGAATGTAGAACTACAAGAAAAACAAATACAAGGAAGTAGGGAGGGGATAGAATGCAGGGTAGTGGGGAGGAAGCAACCCCTGGGAACAAGCCAGCAAAAAATTGGGGAAAAAAAAGAGCTTAGAAAAAAAAAAAAAAACCTGAGCAGGTAGCATTGGCATTCACTGCAAATCATTTTGTGCAGAGGCTTGGGCAGTGGCTTTTTTTTGCTGTATAGCAGGGACTCTCTCTCCTAGGATTTTTTTTCTCAAGGAATGAAACAGAAATAGTCCCACTTAAAAGACGAGGGCCCTAATCAGGAGTGGGAAAACTCCCACAGGAAGTCCCCCAAGAGAGACCCCTCCCTCTCTGTCCAACCTTTGAGCTTTCGTCCGTATCCTTTCAAGTTCTCCCAGGGGTTTTCATGCGTTTCCACTCCTTTATGGAAATTTCCCATCTT